TACTTATTCAAATATCTCTGGTCTTCAGGTAGATTTAACTCGCTAAAAGAGACATTTCATGAGATGACCATGGTATTTCATATTGCTTAGACGTCGTCTCACCCAGTTGTTGCCGTGGTGAGACAGAATGAGTATCAAAGAACATGGATATAAAAAAGAAGTTACCAACGGCGTCAAGAAACAACTGCTGATCAGAGTTTGCATATGCCCATGCTCCTATCAGGAGTGCAACCGCAAGGCAAACAGATCTGACTGTATTTTGATCTTTCGAAAGCTGCTCACTCAATGTATCAAAGGTATGTGCACCTAAACGACTCTTAAACCAAAAATTACCTTTAACATCAAAAACAAGGTGCAACAGAAAATTGCTGATTTACATGAAGGTCAGCCTTCTGGCACCTGTTTTCAAATCAATCAAAACTAAGTTAATTCCAAATTGAAGAAAAGCGAACAGCACCACAAGTAGTTGCTGAAATTTCCAGCGGAAAAGACTTAAAATTCTTGTAGTTGATTTGAGATGTTTCATGCTGAGCCGCCATTTTGGTAAATGATATCACATATAGTTATGATGTCACATATTAGCCCCTAACAACCACGACCGATAACAAAGAAAGTGTAGTAGTGTAGTAATAAACGCAAGGCTGTTTAGCTTTTCTTTTAATCGGGAAAGTACCGCCGAAGTCCTGATGTAAGTAAGTTAAAGCGCTCATTGTTCTGCTAATGTTGTGCTTATGGGAGTGTATAGGTATGTATGAGGGAAGCTAGCTGAGCTTAAGGAGTACCTCGTGTTTGCTTATGAAAAAGAGAAGGACTGGATTGCATGGGAATATGTAAATGACATTTGCTGTTTCGAATCAAGTTGTTTTTTGCTGGCTTTCGAAAACAACCAATAAAGTACGATTCCCCTTGGATTACTTACTTTAGGGAGGCGAGTTCTGAGAGAAAAAAGGTTCATTAACGCAGCCTCTTTCATCTCCCTGATCGTTAAATTTGGATAACAGGAAGTGAAATATTCACATATTTGGGTAAACCCCTCTAAAAAGCGTAAAACCCCTTAATTTGAAAGTCAGTAATATGCCATTAAGGCTCAGTAAGTCTAGATAGGACCTAAAGAAATCTACTTTGTTCAGCAATTACACGAAAAAGATATAATGACATCATCTGGGCTGACGTTACTTACCCGAAGTTCAAAGTCGCAGGTCACTGTCCGTTGACAGGTTTTCAGAACTTTCAAACATGGTTTCACATGTGCGCGCTCGATGAATATATTTACCGCTAATAAGGTCAATGAAGGTTCTCGATCACTGTACATGATCAACACTCCACGATCCCTGTTTGACCTGCGAAGAATTTCCACCACTTCATCCGATCATTAATAGAGTGATCACTCTTTTCCCCGCGAACATGGCGCGCACGTGTGAGTTTCCTATTCCTTTCAAGCCTTTCAACTCATTCAAAGGCGCACGAGCCAGGAGAATTGAGGAAGAAAACTCGACACAGCAAATACAGCCTCAAAGTGAATGCGCATGGTTCTAGCGCACGGCAAATTTTACATGCGCAAAGAAATTGGAACGTCAACATTTCTGAAGTGAAGATTACGCAAAATGGCGGCATTTTAAAACTTCGCATTGTTCGCTTTCATTTTGCTGGGATAAGCTCAAAACAAAACAGATAAGCTTGCCGTTTTCAGGAAAATTTCTTTCAAACATCCTCAGTGACACATCTCACTCAAAAAAAAAAATGTTGCGGTAACAGATGTAAGAATGGCTACTGGCTAAGTTCGTAGTGACTTCTCCCGCTTTAGCCAGTCCAGGCCATAACCATTTCTGGATACTTGATGACGTCACCAACATGGATGTCAAAGTGGGACATCGAGGAAACTCACTCATTACTTTATTCGAGCCCTAGCGACTTGGTTCCCAACCCATATCCCATGAAACCTTGCAAAATTACAGAAGACAAGCAAATACACACAACAAGCAAAGAACTAATGGTGGTCGCGATGACGAGAAGGAAAAATTCAGATGAAAAGTCGGGTGGAGGTCCATGCTGCGAAGGGCTCGATCGAGGAATAACCTCTATTTAGTGGAGGTTTTCAGGTATGCAACATTTTTTTTGATTCCTAAAAAAAATATTTTAAAAACTAGAATAAATTTGCTTCCACTTTGTCAAAATTCCAATCGAGTGCACGAGGTTTTTGCTCGAGTGCACGAATGTTGAAAGTCTGTTAGTGTGCAAACTGCCAGACGGATTCCTTTGTTCAGATCCATCGCAGTATCGTGTAAACCATAAATTTTAACCATACGTTGTGGCCGGCCAATTTAAAGTAAAAGGACAATTATTTATCGGACCTTTATAAGCCTACATTGTGAATTTCAGATCAAGCCAACAGCATGGATGAACACATTTAGTATCTCGAGACACTTTGTCGTCTTTATAGCACAAATCTGCCACGGACCTGGGTCAGTGCTACAAACAAAGAATCTTTTAAATCGGAGCTCTGGATGAAATTTCGAATCAATGTCGATCTTCACATCAGAGAGATTCATAAATGTGATTATCCAGCGAGTAATTTCTCCTTCGGGCAAACATAAAACAAAGAGGTATTCGTTCACTGAGCTCTCACATCTTCAGGTATCGTATCCGGGAAATGTGCGATTAGAGCGGCATGAAGATGAAAATAAAGAAATCACATTGGTGGAAAGCCTTGCCGAAGTGTCTCTATTGCAGCATTCCGGAAACAAAGGAGTTTAACTACACGCACTGATGAGAGTGAAATTTTCGTCTAAAACCACAAGGGACTTGTCTGTAATTGTGAAACTCGTTTAGAAACACCGCTCGTGCTTTCACATTTTGCAGTGATTACCTAAACAAACTTTCTATACAGGGTGTTCAAATCAAAGGGTAATTGTAAAGGACATATTATTGCTGACTAAAAGCTGTAGGACCGAATTTGTAGTGTTCTGAGACCTAGATTCTCTCGCGAATCGATCAATAGCGCGCAAAATACCTTGAATGATTCTCTTGCATTGAATTCGATCATGTGTATTCGTCTTAATATAGATTGTGACTACTTGATTTTATTTTATCCCACTCATGTATTTATTGGCGTTTATTTTCCAGGTGTCATAATTTCAAGATCAAAGCTCCACGTGGAACACCGCTTGTTAGTCAAAGTGAAGACGACAACACGTATGACTCGCATTCACTGGCTTGTCTTCTTCCACGAGAAATGGAACGCATTCCAGAGGCTCTACGAGAAGTCCAGATTTTCAGCAAATCGCAGAGAAAGACATACACTTTAGGAGATGTCAAAGGGTAGCAGATCGGCACGGTTCAGCACTTTCTAAACATACAGCTGCATGCTTTGCTTCGATGTGGCAAAATAACCAGGAATTGAAGGGTAAGTTACTGTTTTCTTGCTTTACTGTTACTTTTTCGTAAAGGCTTGATGGACTGAAATTGATAATGTCTATTTAAAAATCGGAGAGAAGCAAGATATTGTCTTTCCTCGACCTATACTGGAGAGAAATGAAATTGTCCCGATTCCGCGATCTCACACTCGTCCCAATTGTTATCAATGCGCGTTATTTGGTTCAACCTTATTTAATTGGTTTTATTGTAACACAAAATAGGGAAATCAACGGAAAACGGACACTAACATCGAGGTCAAGCTCTACCCAGAAGTTCTCCAGATACAAACAGGCTGGCGGAGGAGCTTTTATTCCTGTGACGCTCTTGGTGGAAGGACCACAGCGTTACAAAGAATTCGTGCTAGAAAGAATCCGCTTTACTCTTCCAGAATGCGAGAGTGTTGATGACACGCATGTTGAATGTTTGAAATAAACGAATATTTTTAATGGTATCTTACGTCCAGTCCTTATTAGCGAATTTTGTTTCTGCTTACTACCGCATTACAACATGGCCGCCACAAAAAAAAATAAATTTAGCTTCTTCTTGTTTCCAGCACCTCTCGGCCAAATTTGCTTTGTTTTGGTTTTGATCTCACCCAATCACAAAGCTCGAAACCGATATCCAGAAATGGTTATGGCCCGAACTGTTAGCTGTCTGGCTGAAGTTAAAACAGCTTGCGATGAATTATGGTTAAAAGTTGCTACATACCCTTTAGACCTTTCCATAGGAACAAAATTTATCACTAGTCCACTTGGTTCTCAACAGTAATAGTCTAAGAAAAGTGCAAAACGACGTTCTGATCTTCCCCCAACAAAGTTCATTTACGCTGCATTCATGAAAAGCCCCTTGAACGTGCCAAATTTGGTTAACATGCGCTCTCATTTTGCCGCTGTGTCGAGGTAGAATGTACCCTGCCACTAGGCTTGTAATACTTACTGGGTCTACGATCCCTGGTAGACCAGGTAGCCATGTTACCGAAAATGTGTGGCTGTCGTTGTTAACTGACCTTTCAAGTGTATAAAAACAACTTCGTTCTGCTTGAATAACTGAGTTACAGCGAACGAACGAAACCAAACGCATATTGATTAGGATAAATATGAACAGTTACGTAATCCTCGCGCAACTTCACACAAAACCGTTAATATAATAGAAAAGGAAATCTAGCTGCAACACGTTGTGTGATGAGAAGCAAGGTTTATAGCTAGACATGTTTTTTCCTCTGAAACAACTTCACTTCTCCGAGATGCCCCCTCGAGAGTTCTTCGATAATATGTTGCAGGCAAAGTCCTTGTAAATTTAAAACAAGCGGCTATTCAGTCATACTTATTTCAACTAGCGTATTATTTCGACTTAGCGTCCTCTTTCGCATAAGTGCTTCCCTCTATAAGCTTCCCCCCCTTTTGTTTTTGTTAACAAGCGCCCCTATTCTAATACTCGTCCCGATTCTGTTTCAGTGATAGCAGTGCTAGAGTGCATGGACAGTGAGAATTTGATGAATTTTTCGCCTTTTTCTCCATCACAGAATACAGGTTTGTTAACCACTGAAAAATATTTCAAGATGATAAAAGACATAGAAGAGAGTCTTTCACCCAATAATCCATTTTTAATGATTACTTTTTTACACCAATAACACTTTTTAGTCTGCATGTACTAAAACTATGTTTAGCAGCAAGTAGCTTAGCCCAGCCCCCAATGCTTGAAGTTCCACTGTTTCTACTGAACAAAGATGTATCCCATGGCTTCGGTGGATTTGTCGCCTTTATCTCCACCGTGCTTGGCCTCGTTGCCACACGAATTGGTATCGTCTGGATATCCAGCGGTACCAAATCCGATTCGGGAATCACTGGTCGTGCAAGCGTTTTCATTGTTGCCCACGATACCAATTCGTGCTTTCGAAAAATTTGGCACATCGCTCACGACGTTGAAGCCTTCTTTATTGCATTTTTGCTGTAGGGAGGCTTCACTGATGAGATTCTTCCATGCTTCTCGGCCCAGTGAGGTTTGGCGATATTGGCCATCAGCTATCAGGGAGTGCAGCGAGCTTGCCTCCTGGTTCAAAACGATGAACTTACTTTCCGCACCAACCTTCATACCCAGGCAGATCTTTGTAAAGGAGGTGCTCCAATAGGTTGGCAACTTGGTCTCTCCGGCGTCCAAATTTCTCCCGTTTGAGGGTTCGTATTCTTTCTTGTCGCTCCAGAAAGGTGAGTCATATTTGAATGTGGACTATAACAGTAAACAAAAGAGCCCTGATAGTAAATAGATAACTGCAACCCCGAATAGCATTTGTTTCAAAAAGGAATTCTATGTCTCCCCTTTCACTTCATAAAATGCGCGACTCAAAATTTTAGAATTTTATCGATAAAGTTGTCACAAGGTCCAACCCATGTGATGATTGTTATAAGACTGGAGATTATCTTTCCTTTTTTCAGCATTAATTAAGCAACAATTATCCTGTTATATCTGCTTCTTTGCAGGTAGACTGAAAGCTTATCGTTAATTAAGACCTTTTTGGCCGGAGAACTCTTCTATAAATATTTTTGTTAATGATCCTGGTAACAGATATCCGATGTTGTTGTTCCAGTTTTTCTGCTCACACAGAAGATGTGCCCATTTGCAATTTGAGTTTGATAGTTGCTGCACCCTTAAGTCGCCCTGATAGTAAATAGATAACTGCAACCCCGAATAGCATTTGTTTCAAAAAGGAATTCTATGTCTCCCCTTTCACTTCATAAAATGCGCGACTCAAAATTTTAGAATTTTATCGATAAAGTTGTCACAAGGTCCAACCCATGTGATGATTGTTATAAGACTGGAGATTATCTTTCCTTTTTTCAGCATTAATTAAGCAACAATTATCCTGTTCTATCTGCTTCTTTGCAGGTAGACTGAAAGCTTATCGTTAATTAAGACCTTTTTGGCCGGAGAACTCTTCTATAAATATTTTTGTTAATGATCCTGGTAACAGATATCCGATGTTGTTGTTCCAGTTTTTCTGCTCACACAGAAGATGTGCCCATTTGCAATTTGAGTTTGATAGTTGCTGCACCCTTAAGTCGCCCTGATAGTAAATAGATAACTGCAACCCCGAATAGCATTTGTTTCAAAAAGGAATTTTATGTCTCCCCTTTCACTTCATAAAATGCGCGACTCAAAATTTTAGAATTTTGTCGATAAAGTTGTCATAAGGTCCAACCCATGTGATGATTGTTATAAGACTGGAGATTATCTTTCCTTTTTTCAGCATTAATTAAGCAACAATTATCCTGTTCTATCTGCTTCTTTGCAGGTAGACTGAAAGCTTACCGTTAATTAAGACCTTTTTGGCCGGAGAACTCTTCTATAATATTTTTGTTAATGATCCTGGTAACAGATATCCGATGTTGTTGTTCCAGTTTTTCTGCTCACACAGAAGATGTGCCCATTTGCAATTTGAGTTTGATAGTTGCTACATACTAGAGAGGCACTTTGATATGGTGCTAAATTACTGCATAGTGTATCAAGAACGGACATGGAATGCAACTAACTTAATCATTGCAGCTAACATATGTTAATGACACTCAAGGAAAATGTGGAATGAAACTTAATCATTGCATCTAACATATACTAATGAAAAAGTTCACGTGAAATATTTCAAGGACAGTTCAAGGACAATGTGAGTGGATGAAATGGCAACTCTTAAACTACCTTTGCGCCATCAATCTTCATGACCAGCGTCCATCCTCCACCTCCACAGTCGCCGAGACCAGCGCCATCCATGTTACAATAAACAGGCAGTTTCGTGAATTCGTCCACCTGGAGTACGTAATCCTTGTTCGCTCTTGATCCACAAAAAAAAAAATTTGTGTTATTAGCATAAATGTGAATATTTTTTATTTCCAGTGTTTTTTGTATAAGCTTAAGCATTAAGATATTATGACTACTTACTTTTCCCCGTCTTCAAAGCCGTATTTGCAAGACTCGAGTGGTTCTGGAGGCGGCTCTAGATAAAAAAAAAAAGGGATAACCAAAACTTTAAACTCTTCTTTTGGATTTTTCAAGCCTTGGTTTCACAGATTTTCATAGAAAGAGATAAAAAACTGAAAATATGAAGCAAGTAAAGATTCGGCGAATTAAATTGAAAACTACATTTTTAAACTACCTGGGCAAGGACAGTTTAAACTCTCAATCATTTCCTTGAGCTCATCCCACTTTTCGTCAGCTGTCTTGCAGTATTTGCTGGCTCCTTCTTCAGCATCTGTGAAAATGACATAATGCACCAGGAAAATAATTGCAATAACCTTCATGTCTTCAACTTCTGATCCTTACTCTCCAAACTAAACTGATCGGGTTACACTCGCAGTGAAGAAAGATAACTTGGAAGTTGAAGAGATTATTGTTAATAAGACCTTGATTGCTCTTCAGCTTAAAAGCCAAATTCTCCATAACATAGGCCACAGTAGTTCTTACATTTGAGAGAGAGTTTTCAAAAGTTTATCATGTCCGACACATCGATTGGTTTAACGTTTTCACCAAGTGATTATGCAATGTTCAGCCAATCAGAGAAAAACTATTAATGAAGGTTTCTGACGTAAGTCTAAATAACTATAGTTACGAACGCCTGCCAAAATGACCTGGATAAACATATCACGCCGCGAACCTTTTTTTTTTTAGTTTTTATAATTAAAGAACACAGAAAGGAACATGTTACTGCACGTTCGGCAATAGTGTTTTGGAGGTTTAGTTTCGGTTAGTTGCTGCTCAACTTAAAACCCTCATTTTCCATAACCAACGCCACATCAGTATTCACTTCTTACTGGGGGGTTAAAAAGTCAGTCAGTATCTAAATAGTATTTAGTTTAGCGATCTTTACCAGTCGATTATCCAATAGCCAGCGTATCGGAGAAAAACAGTTTATGAAGGTTTCGGAAGACAGTCCAAATAGCTATAGATACGAACACCTGCTGCAGTGACCTTGGAAAACACAATACTGGAATGTTTCTACAGAATTAATTTACAGAGAGAGTAAAATTACCTCCGTATGTCCAGTAACAGCGTCTGCAAGGTGAAAGTTCCAACATTAAGTTACAAAACAAACTTTTCCTAATAGTACTTTCACTTTGAGTGACTATTTTTCGTGCACAACTGACTCAAGTTATCAAATAGTGTATTTTCAATGCGGAATGATGATATATCAGGTCACTTACAAATTATATGAGAATAGCATGGGAACAGATTATTTACGTGATGGATTTCAAAAGTTATTAAATATTGTATTGAAATAATTTCACACACAGAAACACTTCCATCAGGCCCGAAATGGTTTGCTGGATCTCCTTTTTTCTCTATTAAAATCTTCACGAAATGAAAATCTCTAACGTTTCACCAAAGGCGGAAATGAATTTTAAGCCATCCATTCATTCATAAAGATACATCACACCAAATGATACGTGAATTTTATTTAACTACTGAATGTGGTTACGTAATCATTAAACGGTCTTTTCGTTGTTTCGTATCCCTCACCAGATGGTTGTCTTAATAATTATCAAACATGAAATAAAATCCAAAAAGTCTTAATTAAATTTTTGACGTATAAAGAGAAAATGTTAAGAGAATGTAATTAAAAAGCAATAATGACCCAGAAAGCACATTACGGTTCTTAAGATATGGCTTTTTAGTTGCGGTGTTGAAAGTTATTCAAGCACATTAGCTCAGCGACGGACTTAAAAAAACTGAATTCCAAAACGCTTTAACGATTTTTTCTATTAAGGGATGGGTCGTTTGGACCAATGAATATTGAATGAATGGTACATCAATGTTGATTGTACGGACGTATGTTAACAGGTACTTGCAATTTAATAGGAAGATTCTTTAATCAAATGAAGGGTTTACGACCCGGGTCCACTTTGTGTAGTTATGTTTAAGTCTCCGAGTATGTTCTGCAAAAAATATGCTTCGTGATTGAATAGGAATACCATTCAGGGTGTTTTCCAAAATTCAACACAAATCATTCAGCCTCGTGAAAGCAAATGTTGTGGTCCGACATAAAACAGCAGGTGAGCCATGAAGATGCAGCGTCGTTTTACAGCCATCAAAGACTGATAAAATTATCAGAGAGATAATGCTGAATAACACTTATCGCTACCAATGAGCCCCAGAGGCTGCAATCTAGAGGTCCAGTCAAAAGCCCTTGCAAGAATGACATTTTTTCCTCACATAAAATGGGAGGAAAATTCGAAATAATCCCGAAAGAAATAAGGATCGGATACTCAGTGATGAGGGTGATTTAAAGGCGAGAAAATATGCGCACTCACCGGTTGGCGAATTTAATGGACAGAGGTTTTTAGTAAGTAAAGAGCGTTTGAAATAAAATGATAACTCATGTTGAAAGCTTTCGCCGGAGGTCATGAAGAAACATTTCATTACTTGATCTGTCAGCTTTGCTAATTTTCTCAGTGAATATTGAAAAACTGCTATTAATTTCATTCCATAGAGAATTCCACGATAATTATTCCTGGAGACTTTGCCCGATGTTCTATTACCCCTCCTTGTTTCTCTTCGCTTCTGTTTTGGTTAAAAAAAGCATTTTTAAAACCGAAAAATTTAGAAATTCGTATATCAAAATTTGTTAAAGCCTTTACAGAGGTTTTTGCGAAGAACAAACTTTTCGCTCCTGTAAATATTACGCTAAGCGAGTTGCCATGGCTACAAATCTTGAAAAATTAAATTATTACTACATAGTTTTGTATGTATATCTTTCATCTCGCTTTTCACTATTAGGAAAGAAACACCATTTTTTAAATTTCAATGGGTTTTAATGAAAGACCGTCTGATCTTGTGTTTCGCAGAAATATTCTTCATGAATGAATAGAAATACAATACAGGGTGTTAGCCTGGCGGTACCAAACCCGATTTGCGAATCGCTGGACGTGCAATCAATTCCATTGTTACCAATAATTCCAATTTGTGTCCTAGAAGAACCAGCGTTAACACTCAGGACGTTGAAACCCTCCTTTTGACAGTTGTTTTGCAGGGAAGCACCAGTGATCAACTTCTTCCATTCGTCCCGACCCAGAGAGGTTTTGCGATATTTGCCATCTGCAATCAGGGCGTACAGCGAGCTTGCCTTTTGGTTCAAAACAAAGAACTTGGTGACCTCACCAACCTTCATACCGAGACAGATCTTGGTTAAGGGTGTGTTCCAGTAGGTTGGTAACTTGGTCTCTTGGTCATCCAAGCCAGACTCCCCTTCAGGAAGGCCGTATTCTTTATGTTCGTCCAAAGCGGTGAATCGTATTTAAACGTTTACTACAATAGGAAATAAAGAAACTGAGATGTTTCATAAAAAACGGTTGTGCTCTTATCCTGATTTTGATGTAATTGCAGCCTTCTATAATGTGAAACTATTTCTCGTTTAATTGCAACTGCAATTTTCTGAAACAGAAATCAAAGATATAAAAAGTTCTGTAAGTCGTGAATTAGTAATAGTTAGGAGCGGTTCTTCGCCAAAAATTTTACTCGAGGGAATATGTTAATGATATTTGCTTGTTCATGCTCAAAGTGAGTTCATTTAATGCTGTTTCGAATCAAGTTGTTATCTGCTGGCTTTCAAAAACAACCAATAAAGTGAGATTCCCCTTGGATTACTTACTCAAGGGAGGCAAGTCCTCAGAGAAAAAAGATTCATTAACGCAGCCTCTTTAATCTCCCTGATCGTCAAATTTGGATAACAGGAAGTGAGATATTCACATATTTGGGTAAACTCCTCTAAAAAGCGTAGTTCGCAGGTCACTGTCCGTTGATAGGTTTTCAGAACTTTCAAACATGGTTTCACATGTCCGCGCTCGATGAATAAATTTACCGCAAATAAGGTCAATGGAAGCCTCTCGATCACTGTACATGATCAACACTCCAAGATCCCTGTTTGACCTGCAGGGAGTTTCCACCACTTCATCCGATCATTAATAGAGTGATCACCCCCTTTCCCGTGAACATGACGCGCACGTGCAAGTGTCCTATTCCCTTCAAGCCTTTCAACTCATTTAAAATCGCACGAGCCCGGAGAATTGAGGCAGAAAACTCGACACAGCGAATACAGCCTCAAAGTGAATGCGCATGCCTCTAGCGCATAGGAAATTTTACATGCGCAAAGAAATGGGACCGACAACATTTCTGAAGTAACAAGATTACGGCAAAATGGCGGCATTTTTAAACTTCGCATTGTTCGCTTTCATTTTGCTGGGATAAGCTCAAAACAAAACAGATAAGCTTGCCGTTTTCAAGAGAATATCTGTCAAACCTCCTCAGTCACATATCTCACTCAAAAAAAAAACTGTTGCGGTAACAGATGTAAGAATGGCTACCGGCTAAGTTCGTAGTGACTTCTCCCGCTTTAGCTGTCTGGATGAATTTAAAACAGCTTACGATGAACTCTAGTCGAAAGTTGCTACATACCCCTTAGACCTTTCCATAGGAACAAAATTTATTATTAGTCCACTTGGTTCTCAACAGTAGCAGTCTAAGAAAAGTGCAAAACTATGTTCTGTTCTTCCCCCAACAAAGTTCATTTACGCTGCATTCATGAAAAGCCCCTCGAATGCGCCAAATTCGGTGAGTATGCGCTCGTACAAACAACTTTATTTTTCTCCGATACCCCCTCGAGAGTTCTTCGATAATATGTTGCAGGCACAGTCCTTGTAAATTTAAAACAAGCGGCTACTCAGTCATACTTATTTCAACCACCGTATTAATTCGACTTAGCGTCCTCTTTGCCATAAGCGCTGCCCTCTAGAGAGCTTCCTCCCTCGAAATTTGTTATTATTAACGAGTGCCCCTATTCTAATACTCTTTCCGATTCTGTTTCAGTGATAGCAGTGCTAGAGTGCATGGACAGTGAGAATTTGATGAATTTTTCGCCTTTTTCTCCATCACAGAATACAGGTTTGTTAACCACGAAAAATATTTCTTAATGATTAAAGACATAGATAGAAGAGAGTCTTTCACCCAATAATCCATTTTATTACTTTTCTCAACGATAACACTTTTTAGCTTGCATGTACTAAAAACTATACTCAGCAGTTAGTAGCTTAGCTCGGCCCCTAAAGCTTGAAGTTCCACTGTTTCTACTGAACGAAGATGTACCCCATGGCTTTGATGAGTTTGTCGCCTTTATCTCCACCGTGCTTGGCCACGTCGCCACACGAATTGGTATCGTCTGGATATCCAGCGGTACCAAACCCGATTCGGGAATCACTGGTTCTGCAATCATCTTCATTGTTGCCTACGATACCAATTCGTGCTTTCGAATGATTTGCCACATCGCTTAAGACGTTGAAGCCTTCTTTGTTGCATTTTTGCTGTAGGGAGGCTTCACTGATGAGATTCTTCCATGCTTCTCGGCCCAGTGAGGTTTGGCGATATTGGCCATCAGCTATCAGGGAGTGCAGTGAACTTGCCTCCTGGTTCAAAACGATGAACTTACTTTCCGCACCAACCTTCATACCCAGGCAGATCTTTGTAAAGGAGGTGCTCCAATAGGTTGGCAACTTGGTCTCTCCGGCGTCCAAATTTCTCCCGTTTGAGGGTTCGTATTCTTTCTTGTCGCTCCAGAAAGGTGAGTCATATTTAAATGTGGACTATGACAGTAAACAAAAGGGTCTTAAATGATGGCTGTAAACATATTAAATTCATATGTGTGCACTGCGGTTGAAGAAACCGGAATATAGAATCGATCCTCGCAGTTATGAACATAACTAAACTAGTAGTTGAATAAGGCCTGAAAAACATCAGTCATTATTCATATGATTTTCATATGTTTACAGCCATTATTCACCACTTCGAAGGTTTATTTGGATCCAACATAATGACCAGCTCCCAGTTAGCTTGCTAGCTCAGTTGGTAGAGCGCTGCACTGGTCATAGGTTCAAATTCCGTACAGGTCTGATGTTTTCAACTACTAGTTCAGTAGTGTTCATAGCTGCGAGGATCGATTCTATAAAAGGGTCTTAAATTTTGCATCGTGTTGCACTCTTAAGTCGCCCTCATGGTGTTTCAAAAAGTAATTTTATGTCTCTCCCTATCACTTCATGAAATGCACGACTCAAAATTTTAGAATTTTGTCGATAAAGTTGTCACATGGTCCAACCCAAGTGATGAATGTTATAAGACTGGATATTATCTTTCCCACTTTCAACATTAAGCAACAATGATTCTGTTCTATCTGCTTCGTTGCAGACGGCTGACCAGTATTTTCCAACAATCCTTTGAAATACGCAGACATTTATTACTGTCATATATAAAAAAGGATCTTGATAATTGCTCACACCCAGGACAAAACATCATCCTTTTGAACAAACATTAACTTCAACACTCTAAGTGTGTTTTTTTATGTCACTATTGTCATATGTTCATCACGATATTTTTTATTTATATGTATCATTCTTTGTATTCAAGTCTTTTCTTTAATTGTTCATGTCATCATATCTCCTTATCCGTCGAAGACGGTAGACTGAAAGCTTACAGTGACTTTTACAAGACTTTTTTTTGGCGGGAGAACGCTTCTATAAATATTTTGTTAATGATTCCGGTAACAGATATTCATGTTGCTGCTCCAGTTTTTGGAAATCAATCAATGCTTCGGGTTTGATATTTGCTACATACTAGAGAGGCACTTTGATATGGTGCTAAATTACTGTATTGCGTATCAAGAACGGACATGGAATGAAACTTAATCATTGCATCTAACATATACTAATGAAAAAGTTCACGTGAAATATTTCAAGGACAGTTCAAGGACAATGTGAGTGGATGAAATGGCAACTCTTAAACTACCTTTGCGCCATCAATCTTCATGACCAGCGTCCATCCTCCACCTCCACAGTCGCCGAGACCAGCGCCATCCATGTTACAATAAACAGGCAGTTTCGTAAATTCGTCCACCTGGAGCATGTAATCCTTGTTCGCTCTTAATCCACAAAAAAAAACTTTTTTATTAGCATAAATGTGAATATTTTTTATTTCCAGTGTTTTTTGTATAAGCTTAAGCATTAAGATATTATGACTACTTACTTTGCCCCGTCTTCAAAGCCGTATTTGCAAGACATGGGTGGTTCTGGAGGCGGCTCTAGATAAAAAAAAAAGGGATACCCAAATCTTTAAACTCTTCTGTTGGATTTTTCAAGCCTTGGTTTCACAGATTTTCATAGAAATAGATATAAAAGTTGAAAATATGAAGCAAATAAAGATTCGACGAATGAATTTGAAAACTACATTTTTATTCTACCTGGGCAAGGACATTTCAAATTCTCAATCATTTCCTTGAGTTCATCCAACTTTGCGTCAGCTGTCTTGCAGTATTTGCTGGCTCCTTTTCCAGCATCTGTGTAAATGACATAATGCACCAGGAAAATAATTGCAATAACCTTCATGTCTGCAACTTCTGATCCTTACTCTTCAAACTAAACTGATCGGGTTACACTCGCAGTGAAGAAAGATAACTTGGAAGTTGAAGAGATTATTGTTAATAAGACCTTGATTGCTCTTCAGCTTAAAAGCCAAATTCTCCATAACATAGGCCACAGCAGTTCTTACTTTTTAGAGAGAGTTTTCGAAAGTTAATCATGTCCGACACATTGATTGGTTTAACGTTTTCGCCAACTGATTATGCAATGTCCAGCCAATGAGAGAAAAACTGTTTACGAAGGTTTCTGAAGTAAGTCTAAATAACTATAGTTACGAACGCCTGCCAAAATATTAATGACCTGGATAAACATATCACGCCGCGAACTTTTTTTTTTTTTTTCAGTTTTTAAAATTAAAGAACACAGAAAGGAAAATGCCTTTGCACGCTCGGCAATAGTGTTTGGGAGGTTTAGTTTAGTGCTCAATTGAAAACTCTTATTTTCCATAAACAGCACGATAGCATTATTCATTTCTTACTGGGGGTAAAAAGTCAGTCAGTATCTAAATAGTAATTAGTTTAACGATCTTTACCGGTCGATTATCCAATAGCCAGCATATCGGAGAAAAACAGTTTACGAAAGTTTAAGAAGACAGTCTAAATAGCTATAGATACGAACACCTGCTGCAGTGACCTTGGAAAACACAATACTGGAATGTTTCTACAGAATTAATTTACAGAGAGTAAAATTACCTCCGCACGTCCGGCAACAGCGTCTGCAAGGTGAAAGTTCTAACATTAAGATACAAAACAAACTTATACGACAGTACTTTCACTTTGAGTGACTATTTTTCTTGCACACCAAACTGAAGTTATCAAATAGTGGTATTTTCAATGCGGAATGATGATATATCAGGTCACTTACAAAAATAAATGAGAATACCATGGGAACAGATCAGTTTACATGATGGATTTAAAAACAAACCAAATTTGTCACAATTTGAATTGTTTTTCTATCAATTTTCTAAAGAAGCCGGCTTTGTTTGGGTACAGAGCACCCTTACTAGCATCTCAAATAAACACTTTCATCTCACACATTACCGAGAAAAACTGTTGAAAAAAACCGTGACACAAAAATATCAGAGTAATTCGATTTTTGGACAGTTTCTGAGATATCCACTAAGTAGAATTAAATTTCATATAAAAACGAAATTGAATTTATTTTAATTTTCAGTAATCTGTCTTTGCGAACTTCGAATGCATAATATCACGGATATTTCATGAGGACTGGTCATATCCTTGACAAATTAAAACAACCTGCCAAGCGATGTCAAAGGCCTAATCATTTCTTCCAAAAGTGTTTTATAAAAAATTTGAGAACTATAGTAATATTTTCTCGATAGAATGGTTGTGGACCTGTAAACAAGAAATGTGCTTTTGATGGAGATCATCAGCCTTAATGGAATGATTTTCATTTTGACTTCACAGAAACACCTCCATCAGGCCCGAAATTGTTTGCTGGATCTCCTTTTTTTTTCCTATTAAAATCTTTATGAAAGGAAATCTCTAACGTTTCATCAAAGGCTGAAACAAATTTCAAGTCATTCATTCATTTATGTAGATAAAGTACACCAAATGATACGTGAATTTTGTTCAACTACTGAATTTGGTTACGTAATCATTAAACTGTCCTTCTGTTATTTCGTATCCCTTACGAGATGGTTGTCTTAATAATTATCAAACATGAAATAAAATCCAAGAAATCCTGATTAAACTTTTGACGTTTAAAGGGAAAATGTTCAGGGAATGTAATTAAAAAGCAATAATGACCCAGAAAGCACATTTCGGTTATTTAGATATGTTTTTTTAGTTGCAGTGTTGAAGGTTATTCAAGTATATTAGTTCAGCGACGGACTTGAAAAAACTGAAGGCTAAAACGCTTTAACAATTTTCCTCTTAAAGGATGGGTCGCTTGGACCTATGAATATTAAATGAATGGTAAATCAATGTTGATTGTGCGGATGTCTGTTAACAAGTACTTACAATTTAACAGGAAGATTCTTTAATCAAATGAAGGGTTAACGACCCGGGTCCACTTTGTGTAGTTATGTTTAAGTCTCTGCGTGTGTTCCGTAGAAAATATGCCTCGTGATTGAATAGGAATACCATACAGGGTGTTTTCCAAAAATCAACACAAATCATTCAGCCTCGTGAAATTAAATGTTGAGGTCCGACATAAAAAGGGTTAGTTAGGTCGTTTAACAGCCATGAAAGACTGATAAAATTATCAAAGAGATAATGGTGAATAACACTTATCGCTACCAATGAGCCCCAGAGGCTACAATCTATTGTAAGGGAGTCATTGGTCCAATCAAAAGCCCTTACAAGAATGACTTTTTGTTCTAACATGAAACAGGGGGAAATTCCGTTACCCTTCGTTGTTTCTCTTCACTTCTGTTTTACTTAAAAAAGCATTTTTGAAACAGAAAAATTTAGAAATTCATAAATCAAAATTTGTTGAAGCCTTTACAGAGGTTTTTGCGAAGAACAAACTTTTCGCTCCTGTAAATATTACGCTAAGCGAGTCGCCATGCTTACAAAACTTGAATAATTGAAATATTACCAGATAGTTTTGTATGTATGTCTTTCATATCTCTTTTCATTATTCGAAAAATGAAACTGCTCGAAAAGATAGATGGCAACACCTGTTCAGGAAAGAACCGCCATTTTTTAAATTTCAATGGGGTTTTAATGAAAGACCGCCTCATCGTGTGTTCTGCAGAAAATATGCTTTATGAATGAATAGGAATACCACACAGGGTGCTTTCCAATAATCAATTTTTCCCACACTTGCTCACGCAAAACAAGAACCTTAATTTCATACTAAAGATTGACCACAAAGGCATAATATGTATTAGTCCGGCTAAACAAGAAATCAGTGTGTTACTCATCTTAAAAGAAAATGCCTCAAATTTTGTGAAAATCATTTGATGACTATATCGCCCAAAATGAGCTCGATCTGAGGCCCCGGTTAGGGCGAGTGGAGTATGAAGAAGTCAACATCCCATAGCAATGATTTCGGGAAGCTTGACCTGCAACAATGAAATAAGAAGTGGAGTAATTCGTGTAAAATTTAGTAAAAGTCTGTGAAGATGCAATTAGTGTAATCGATCTTACAATCAATAAACGTTGAAGAAATATTCAAATGTGCTCAAACAAAGCTTAGATTTAGACATTGATTTAAGATGCCTCTAAATTGAAACCTCTTTAATTTATGGTATTTCATATAAGCTCCTTTAAACGTGGCTCTGCATCTCGCAATCATGTTTTTGATTCTTTGGCGAAATGGGTCAAAATAGAAACATAAGAGACTGCATCTTGTGCTATGAATATTCACCACATGTAGACCACAAATTACCATTCGCTTCTGAAACGAGTTTCGACAATGCAATGCTAATTTGAGTTCTTATGCATTTACTTGATTCCTTTCAAAAAGCTTGCTCCGATGCAATAAATAAATGTGTAAACAAACCCGCCACAGAAGAATATCTATTGCAAATAACCTTTTAGCCAAAGTAGATACGTGGTCTAACAGTCGCTGTGTTGGGCACTTGTTAGCTTTTGTTGAATTTGTCAGTCTCTTTCGTTGAATACGTTCCTAACTATTTGGTTATGATACCTACTTCCCTGCATTAAATGTGTGGCCGGGTAACTGTCCGCCACGGCCTACAACAGCATAGCGTGCGCACGATGGTTAAGGAAGAGAATGCACTACTTTGAACCTTTTAAGAAAACTTCCAAAAGACGCTGTCGACGCGGCTAAATAAGATGGCGTTGTTTTATAAGATTCCTTTTGAAGGCAGTAAAGTTTATATGACGAAACTGGAAGACGATAAACAGGGAGCACTCCATGAAAGACAGGATCTATCCACGATTTTGTAGAGACATGAAACAAATTGCCAAATTTAACGAAGTCTACATTAGTAGATCGCTTAGTAACACAGCGGATGATAGATGGAAGGCAAAATCAAATCGTTCTTAGTATGCTACTTTTCCTTCTTCATTTGTTTCTGTTCGGTATGAACAGCTCGGGAAGATCTCAAGGTATTCGTTTACATCAAATTTCATTTCAACGCTTTAACATTAGGTCATACAGGAACAGGGTTTTTAACCGGGTAAAAAAATCTAAGATGATACAAGACTCAAGGAGAACAACATCATTCATCCAATAATCCATTTTATTACTTTTTTCGGCAATGAAACCCTTTAGTGTGTATGTGCTCCTACTAACTATGCTCAGCAGCCAATAGCTTAGGCCCTACTGAACGAAGATGTATCCCATGGCTTTGATGAATTTGTCGCCATTATCTCCACCGTGCTTGGCCACGTTACCACACGAGTTGGTATTGTCTGGGTATCCAGCGGTACCAAACCCGATTCGGGAATCACTGGACGTGCAAGCGTTTTCATTGTTACCCACGATTCCAATTCGTGCCCGAGAAGCACCGGCGTTAACACTCAGGACGTTGAAACCCTCCTTTTGGCAGTTGTTTTGTAAGGAAGCACCAGTGATCAACTTCTTCCATTCGTCCCGACCCAAAGAGGTTTTGCGATAATTGCCATCTGCAATCAGGGCGTACAGCGAGCTTGCCTTTTGGTTCAAAACAAAGAACTTGGTGACCTCACCAACCTTCATACCGAGACAGATCTTGGTGAAGGGTGTGTTCCAGTAGGTTGGTAGCTTGGTCTCTTGGTCATCCAAGCCAGACTCCCCTTCAGGGAGGCCGTATTCTCTCCTGTTCGTCCAAAACGATGAATCGTATTTAAACGTTTGCTACAAAAGAAAATAATGAAGTTGAGATTTTTCATAAAAACGGTTGTGCTCTTATCCTGATTTTGATGTAATTGCAGCCTTCTATACTACAAAACTATTTCTCATTTAAATGCAACTGCAATTTTTCTGATTTAACCATACTCATGAGAAGACAGCCGAACTATGTATGAGGTTAACCCAACGAGCAATATCAACTTTGTGGATACCTTTGCACCATTAATCTTCATGACGAGTGTCCACCCTCCGCCTCCACAATCACCAAGACCTGCGCCATCCATGTTGCAGTAAACAGGAAGCTTCCTACAGCCGTTCAAATCGACCATGTATGCCTTGTTCTCTTTTGACCTTAAAACAAAGTGTTCTTTTTGTAGGGACTGTGTCAAAATGCAGGAGTACCGTTTTTTTAAACTTTATAAAATTGAAATTCGCCATAATTTCACACGAAAAATTGAGCCTACTTACCCGGTCGCATCATAAATCTCCTTGCAAGACATAAGCGGTTCAGGAGGTACAACTAGAAGGGAACCAAAAACAGAAACTCATAAATTTTGGTTAAACCGTGGTTATTACATACATCAGCAAGGAACATAAAAACTGAAAATTTCTGCAACAAACAAATACGCAACCAAAATACTTGAAAACTGAATTTTCATCACCTGGACTCGGACACTCCTTGTCTTCTATCATGTCCTTGAGCTCATCCAACTTCATATCTGCACTCTTGCAGAATTTGCTTCCTCCCTTTCCAGCATCTGCGGAAATGGAGAAATACACCAGGAAAATAATTGCAACAAGCTTCATCGCTGCAATTTCTGACTCTCGCTTTTCAAGCAAACCTGACTGGTTTATAAGTCCCTAATTGCTATATAGCTTAAAACCCAAATTCTTCACGACTAAGCCAACAATAGTTCTCACTTTTTTGTGGGAGATTTCAAAAGTCAATCAGGTCCGAGTTATGATATGTTTATTATTTATAAGCGGCAGTTTTGAAGGTTTTTGAAGACAGTCCAAGTAACTGTAGATACGGACGCCTGCATCAGTGACCGTGGATAAAAGTTTTACATATTGTATTAGTTAATCTCTTGCTATTGTTCATGACTCGACACGCAGAGAGGGTAAATACCACCAGATGTCTGTAAAAAGTGTCTGGAAGGTCTTGTTTCCAAAATTTAAGTCTGAAACAAACAAAACTGACTTCTCCTATAGTCTGATCCACTATCTTGCGTGACTTGAAAATTGAACTCAATTTCCCTGCATATGTACATCAACTTAACATTTTACAAACTCAGGGTACCGTTAAAAGCCCTCACAGTTTGTTTGAGGAAAGAAGACACGAAAGGTGTTACTTCTGCATAGGTTGCTCCTAAGAGTTCGTACAAATTTTTTACCGAAAAGTGAATCCTTTAAGGTGTTCAATTTATTTGCAGCAATGAAATGAATCATGCGGTAATCGATCTTTTGATTAAATTTTAAAAAAATTAAAAATTTAAATCTAGGCTTAAAATATGGAGAATCTACCGCATTCTTCAGCTTTGGAAGTTTAAGCCTTTGGTAGGTTGGTTTGTGTATTCTTGTGGCGATTCGTGAGAAAAACAAATTTCAGGTTTCGTATGCATTCCTTCAAGCAGTCTTCACCCCAGAAGACTAACTGTTTGATTCATTAATACTTTTTCTTTGGGTTGTCTCAACTGGCTAAAATCCCGAGGCTATTTTTCGTAATGAAGGGCTCCAAGAGATTATAATGTCTTGAGGTCTCTTACAATTACACCGCGTCAATTTCTCAGTAATTCAGCGAATTCGTAAACTTATTTGAAGTTAATTTAATCTGCCTCGCACATAAATCAATGCTTAGACTTACTGTTATGTTTCATATAGATAAAATCAAAATTGAAACTTAAATACTTATGAATATGTATATTTATACCATGGTATAAAAGTTCAAATATGGCACTTATTCAAATGCCTCTGATCTTCAGGTAGATTTAAGTCACTAATAAAAGACATGTCATGAGTTGATCATCGCATTTCATTGCTTAGACGTCTTCTCACCCAGTTGTTGTTGTGGTGAGACTGAACGAATATTAAAGGAGATACATGTAATAAAGAAGTTTCCAACGGCATCAAGAAACAACTGCTGATCTAAGTTTGCAAATACCCATGCACCTATCAGGGATGCAAGTGGAAGGGAAACAAGTCTCACTTTACTTTGATCTTTCGAAACCTACTCACTCAATAGATCAAAGGAAAGTGCACCAAAAATTACCATTAACATCAAAAACAAGGTGCAACAGAGAATCGCTGCTTTACCTGAAGATCAGCTTTTTGGCACATCCTTTCAAATTGATGAAAAAGCGGACAGCACCCCGAATAGCTTCCAAGTTTTTGGCGGTGCTGATTTGAATTTTATTTTGATTTATTTCATTTTGAGATGTTTTCATGCTGAGCCGCAATTTTGGTGAATGACATCACATATACCAGGCAGTTATGACATCACATGTTGGCCTCTAACAACCACGACCGATAACAAAGAAAGTGTAGTAATAAATGCAAGGCTCTTCAGCGTTTCTTTTAGTCGGAAAAGTTCCACCGAAGTCCTGATGTAAGTAAGTTAAAGTGCTCACTGTTCTACTAATGTTGTGCTTATGGGAGTGTATTGGTATGTATGAGGGAAGCTAGTTGAGCTTAAGGAGTACCTCGTGTTTGCTTATGAAAAAGAGAAGGACTGGATTGCATGGGATTCTATATTTTCTGAAATAGAATCAACCATGTAAAACATTCTGTAAGTCGTGAATTAGTAATAGTTAGGAGCAGTTCTTCGCCATATATTTTTCTCAAGGGAATATGTTAATGAAATTTGCTTGTTCATGCCCCAGTGAGTTCATTTAATGCTGTTTCGAATCAAGTTGTTATCTTCTGGCTTTCGAAAACAACCAATAAATTACGATTTCCCTTGGATTACTTACTTTAGAGAGGCAAGTTCTCAGAGAAAAAAAGATTCATAAACGCAGCCTCTTTAATCTCCCTGATCGTTAAATTTGGATAACAGGAAGTGAAATATTTACATATTGGGGTAAACCCCTCTAAAACGGCCGTAAACCCTTAATTTGCAATTCAGTAATACGCTATTAGGGCTCAGTAAGTCTAGACAGGACTTGAGAAATCTACTTCGTTCAGCAATTACACGAGAAAGATATACTGACATCATTTGCACTGACGTTACTTACCCGGATTCTTCAGTACAGAGAAGCCAGAAGTAGATAAACGTTATTTGAGGACGCATCTTTGCCGCACAATTGAGGTAAGCTGTCCAGTTTTGAAGATTTGGAGTGTTACATTTCAATATTATAAAAAATTGTTCGTTCTAGTGATTTCCCCAAGAGAGTCTTCATTTTATTTGTATGGGAAGCAGACCCTTTCAAAATCATTACGAATCAGAAGAAGTGTGGAACACTTTTATAATCGAGAACAGATCAGCGATAAAAAGAGCGGGGGTATATTTGATCCTCGCACACAGCAACTCCACCGCGGAGCTTGAGCGTTAATGATGAAGATTAATAAAACCGTCAGTACAGATATTATTATTCTTTAATGATAATACTTCACGTAATGACCCGAAGCGCTTGTTGCTTACTGATCTCTGTGGGGAGATATAGAATATTTTGTACACCAGCTCAGCATTCAGAGATTTAACAAAAAGAAAACAAAGGGACGCAGCGAAAATCGAAATCAAGTTTCGATTCTCAGACCATTAATATGTCATTCACTTCAATATCGGAAAAGCAGGTTCTACTGAAATGAAAGCTTGTTCAAAACTTTGCGGTGAAATCTCATGACTGTGCCTGGTGGTTTCAATTTCATTTTAAATATAATTTATTTGGAGTAATTTATATTACTAATAAGAGCACGGGCAATGGAAAATTGTGGTCGACATGTCAAGAATGATCTAAAAGCGAACATCTTATATTTAAGACTTTTCGAGATATTCTATTCAGATCAGCTGTACAGTCTATCAGTTCCTGTTTAAATGAAATTTTTGCTCGACATGGACTGGCTTATCGGAGACCACAATAAATTTCTAAAAGTATAATGTTAATGACAATAAAAAATGGATACTTACAATTTTCAAGTTTCTTAACCCTCAGCCTTTCATCCTTGTGGAAAAGTAGCCATAAATCTCTGGTTCACAGCGAATACAAACATATTTAGGGTTTTGCAAAACAGTTGGAAGTAGATGGCTAGAAGTTTTATTTTTTTCTGTTTGCCGTCACGCTTTATCTCCCTATCATATCATGTTCGTTTATGTATCTCTTTAGGAGCATGTCAAATATAATGCCGGGGCTAACTGTAAATTACTGTTACTCCGTTCTCAATACATGGAAAGAAATGCACGCCTTGGCAAATTGTAGTCGTAGCAGCTGAGAGTTTCCACGGTAGAAATTATAAGGTCTTGGTGTCATTTCAGTGCAATAATCATTGTCGAGAAGCGATCACTCTTAGTCAATGACTTTCCCAACAGAGGCCATATTTCAAGGGAGACGAATGGTTTTTCCTTTCGAAAAATTGCTATTTCACTCGATTTTCGGAAAAGATGAATGATTTACTATGCAGCTTCCTAAAATTGTTCATGAAGATATCCAAACCGCTCCCAAAGTGAACATTATCTTCTAGAACAATGATCTGACATAATCTGGAATCTTCCTACAACTTTTTTTAAATACCAATCCTTTGACCGGAAGTGGCTTCCACACATCATCGTTTGTCCCCTTGCAGGAAGTATCAACAAAAGGGCAAAATGATTTTGAACATGCTGTGATTATTATAGGTAATAACATGATTTCGAGTGCATTTTGGTGTTAATAAGCAAAAATAAAATTTTCAAAGACAACAGCAGTTTGTAGTCTTTGAAAAATTTACAGGTGAAAAAAGCATCACAGAAAGTCAAGACAGAAGAAACTTTGACAGCGCGCGCTATTTCTAATTTGCACTCGTGTTACGACTTTGCACCCACGTTGCAAGAAAAATGCACTCGTTTTCAGCCTATCAGAAGCGCGTAATTTTTTAATGTATATTATCTTTTTTTTTTTTTTTTTTTACATATGAGGCTACTACACAAACACTCCAGTCTCTCAGAAACACCCTTTAATCTTAGCTTTATCTTCCTGTATCCCAGAACCAGTTCTGTGACCTCCATTTCTAGTGACTGAACCTCGATCAGTGCATCATAATTTCTTTTTCCTACAAGTTTGAAAATACTCCGTAAGTACAGTTTAGAGCCACCATAAATTTTGATGTTTCAAGGTGGCCTCACGAAGAATTACCTCTAGAAAAGGCCGACATGGTGGACTCGTCTCTCTGCTTGATCCACTGTTTTCACATTTTAGGAAGGAATGATGTCGTGATAAAGTTGCAAAAAGGAAAACGTACAGCCTAATGAGGGTCTTTTGTTTCATTTCAGATGGAGGACCAGCAACATGACTTTACAGTTCCATACGTGCATATAAATGAAGATGAGAATTCTTTTAAAAGCCGTCTATTCCAGGTAATGACGCGTTTTCTGACCTCCACCGTTGTGAGAGTAATGGGTTACATTGCCTATGTATTGTTTTTCATCTGGCAAGTAATCGGTTTGATCTTGTACACAATCCGTGCCTTTGAAGTAAGTCTCAATTCCAAACGTGCAAGCTTCCAACTGGCAGACATCACCTCATTTGATCGTTCTGAGGAACTGGAGCTCGCGTGGGTTATGTCCCAGATATGCAACTGCGCCTTGGTACTCCTGGCTGTATCAAGAGTACCTTCTTTCTTAGGGTGGTCTTTCATTCCGAGGCTGCTAGTTCAGCTTCCAGCGTTTTGGAGTCTTCTGGCCTTGTTCTTGATGACAGTTGTAGGCTACGGGATGATCCTTGTTCACAAAAATGACGAGATGATGGAGATCTGTCTGATTTTAGCTCTAACGATGGACAATTGTGTTCAGGTAGTTTTGATAAGCTTCCTAAACTTCACTCAAATAAATCGCTCCTACAGGCAATATCCTTTTACAGTATTTGCCTTCCTCAAAATTAATATATTTCTTCTTTTTTTATCGTATTTTGCAACCTTTGTTGTCAGCTCACTCCAGATTGCAATTCGAGTCTATGGCATAGAGAAGAGTGAATCAATTTCTGATGATTGTTTTTGTGCAATTGTTGCGGTAAGGAGATTTACACAGGTGGTATTCTCTTACAGAGTTTATATATTTTACTGGGACAAATTGTTTTCTGATCACAGAAATATTCTTTGTCATCACGACTATTTGGAAGAGACTATAAAAGAAATTAGAACGAGAAATCGGTCAATTTAAGAGGCAAGTACGCTTTAATTCTGCCAATGTATGTTTAAGGGAATAAGAAAAAAAAAGTACCATAAGTTCACAACTGTTGTAAATTGTTTACTTGTCGAGTGGTCTCCATTAAATGAGTGAGATTTCTGTCAGTTTGAAGCGTTTCCACAATTTAGGAATATAGTCAAATACTAACTAGGGGTAAAATTACTTCAGCACTTTTCCAAATTTAGAATGTTTCAAAAGAGTCTCGATGAGGTTAATCACTAGCCGCAAAACGGCCTAAAAAATTAGCTTTTAGGCGTAAAAATTGAAAAACTTTAACCGTTACAAGTCAAAAAGGAAACCATTAATTTTTTTTACGTATACTCACCAAGGAAGGAAGTTAACCGTTGAACGTAGAATGGTTAAAAATTTAATCTTCGTGGCCGTAAAAGCCATCACCCCATTGACACCCTTTTCTAATAACTAAGTTGAGCGTTCATATAATTACAAAGGATATGTTTGGAAAAATTCTGTTAGACTGGGTTTTGATCATAAAAGTTCCAATAAATGTTTCTTTAGTTTAGCTCTGCTTACCTCACTGCTGGTACTCAAACAGGTCTGTTTATATGCAATTTAACATGCAAGTATCGGAAGTATCTAGAATCAGTAATATTTTTTTAACCTTGATATTCTTGTGCCCAGTTATCTATGTGTTAATGCACTATTCTAAGAGTGCATTAGAACTGAAGCCGTTGTAGAAACAATAGCCGTAATGTATCAGAAGAATATAGTGTTCATGTTAAGTTATACTTATATAGAATAATTTCGTCATTGGTCTATTTGTGGGAGTGTTGATTTCAGTAATAAAGACATATAAGGGTATCCAGCCCTGAGGAAAGCATAACGGCACACACGTAAATCTGCGATAAATTTTCTACTTGTGTTTGATATCGCCAATCAGCTGCTGACACGTAACTCGCCTTTGGCGCTACTCTGTCAGGTTGATGAATGAATACCAAAGTCTTCACCTTTCTAAAGCGAAGGACGTCTTTCGAAAATTTTCTCGGATTATAGCTTCTAACAACGCTGAAAAATTCGAATTGCTGACAAACAATGACGTTCAAGATTTTTCGAAAAGTAGAAAAAAACCGAAAGTTACTTGACTTTGGTAATAGCATTTCTTGCAGCTGAGAACAAAAATCGACAGCTGGGAGATATGCTAATGATGACTTCGGCGTCTTTCTGTCAATAAAGGTCCACTGTGTTTATATGATAAACCAAATAATACATGGTTGCTTTTAGATATGGAGTTTCTCTTTACTGGAAAAGAGCTGTGGCAGTGCTTGAGTCGCTGTGTTTTGGCAGGAACCCTATTCAGTTAATCATCCATACGGGGTTGAAAACCCGCCAGAATAGATCTTTAAAGTGAGCTTGTAAAATTGTGTCAGTTTTTAGTGCTTTTTTTTTAAACAAAGCTAACTGGGTCAGATTGCACGAAACTAAGGCCTAGTTCAAACGTCGATCTTTACATGTACCGAACCTAATTGCAATTTGGGTCGACTCGAATAATTAAGAGCGGCAGTTGATTCAAACGTCGATCCTAATTGCAAAACTGAACATAACTCCATTGTAGTCAGCGGTTAATGCCTACCAAACAAGAGGAGCACGAGCCTTCCTCCTTTCCCGCCATATTGTTTGAATGGTTCGAGGGCTTTCGCGCATGGCACGTAAGCGAACTTTCTTGAATTGTGGGTAAAACATAATTACTTTAACGTATGTATAATGTATGCATTAAGTTCGGTACATGTAAAGTACGACGTATGAATCAATGCCGATCTTTTACCGTTCTATCCGACTAGCCGAGTCGGATAGAACGGCACTGTCGATCCGAATACAAATCTGCCGATCCTAATTGATTCAAACGTCGATCTTTACATGTACTTAATAGAAACGTTAGGTTCGGTACATGTAAAGATCGACTTTTGAACTAGGCCTAACCAATTTTTGTAAACTCAAAGCAAAAATCTCCATTATTACCCTAACGAGCCTCCCATCCGTCAAGGTTACCACATTATGAGATTTCTCAACCAACTTCTGCGAGTGTTGTCCTTCACAAACTTTCACAGTTGTTATTGTGATTGCAAACAGTAGCAATATGAAACTTTTACCGTATCCGGTTGGCATTACAACAAAAACATGCCCAACCTCTGGAAGACAATTGCTTTTAGCTGCACGTCTTTTAGATGGACTGCAACATTTACTTCAATCGATAGTTTTTAAAAATATTTGAGTACCTGTATCCAACTGCGATCGTCAGTTAATCACTGGTCTGTGTCATGATTACAGGGCCTTTTATTCCTGATCAATCAAAATGCTGCCTTCGTCGGCAAACGCGCTAAATTAGGTAAACAACGGCGTCCTTCCAAGCTCTCATGAGGGCTAGACCGTTCACAGACCCCTCGCAAACAACTCATTGGTTCGAATTTCACGTGTTTCGCCCCTCGTGCCGAAGAAATTACGAGGGCACGCTCACAGGCTATGCGTGGAAATAAAAGAGGTTTCCGGGGAATACAACTCGTGACGTCCGTTTGGAGAAGCTAGTGCACCCGTTGCCACCCACTTACTGACTTAAAGTGTATGCTCTGTCAGTCATCTTAAATTCTTATAAGAGGGTCTCAATGGGGTCGTAAGCCGTAAAGGCCATCGCCATGTTGGGAACCTCATGTAAGCATGCTGTTGTTTTAATAATAAAGCTAGCGCTGTAGTCAAGCACAATAGGCGGCACAAACAACTAACCTAAACATAAGCATAATTCTTGTCGTTAAACCCGTTTCTTCATTACGGCTAAGGAAATTTTGAACCTACTCATTTAGTGCTGTAAAGGGGCCACTTTTATTTTTTATGACACTTAAAAAAATCAATGCCTAAATTTATTTTCAAGTTTTATTCTCAACTTCTCAGTTTTAAAATATTTCACCAATTTTAATTGTGCTTTGAGTTTAAGTTATAAACATCAAGACATCCAGGGTTTCAGAACGTATGAACATTTTATTTCTCAGTTGAGGCCTAATTTCCATGTAAAAGATAAATGGAAACACATTGCAAGACAAAGAGAAAAACATGATAATATTACAAACCTTTCATGAAGATCTCAATCATTTCTCAAGTCATTAATCGATGTGAAAAATGTAGCTAAATTTACAACAGACAAAAATTTGATTAATTTGATAAAATACAAAAGCTGACAAACTGAGGTGATGAAACCAACCATTATCCAATTAGATGTCTAAAAAAAACGGACATGGCTCAAACACGCCTGTCAATTAACTGTTAGTGAAGAAAACAACCAAAATAAAATGACAGGTGTATTTCCTTGTGGTAAATAATTCTTATTACGGAGAGAGCTTAAACAGTTTTACCGAAGGAAATTTCGCTCTAGTCTTACAGAAATTACGCGTCAAAAACCTGTTTCGTGGAATTAAGAAGTGGTTTCGAATTACGTTTTTAACGCTGGATAACTGACCGTTCACAGCGTCTGTTTGAGAATAAGTCGGTGCTTCGAATACATCACCTTGTAAGCCAAAACGACTTTTGTCCTCCCGATAACGAGGCTTTAATTAGGCGACCAAAAAGTGTGCTTCAAGCCGAGGCTTTTTAGAAATCATGGAAGAATTGTATACAGACTTGATTAAAACCTCGTTACCAAGCTTAAGTACAGCTGTTATTTTGGTTTTTGCATCCTTGACAACTGAAAATCCTTAAATACGAATCCATTTCTAAGATATCAAAAGGCCTCCTCAAAGAATCTCCAGGGCGAAAGGTAAGATTAACAAATAAATCATAACTGAGGGAAAACTTTTTTTCTCGAGCTTAACCTTCAATATCAAATGCTTATTTATTCGGAAACGATTCTGCATAGATCGCTTTATGTTGACACACATTCGCTGAAATCCCTCCCATGTTTCAATGGTAAAGGCTTTCAAATGATTGTATTGAGAGAAAATTTAGCTAAGGTGATGCATGTTATATATGCTATTCTAAGACGTGCTAAGTTTTCTCTAACATCAATTTTTAATCTTTACGAGAATCGAAAGATTAATTCAAGAAAGTGAAATGTCCGATCCACCCAGATGAAAACCTACACCATGGATTCAGAATTAACCGATCGAAATTAATTCCTCCGTAAGGGAAAAAAGTGTTTAGGCGAGAGTCAAAGCTAGGAACCATCTTCAAAAGGGGTTTTATAAACTTGTGTTTTAGCGTTGGTGAAGTTAAGACCATCTGCCTCGTCAGCTTTTGCCGTTAAAGGGCTGATTACTTTCTTCGACACAGCGGGAAGTCCCAACTTTTATTTTTACCGAAACAAAATATTACTCACTTTCCCACGAAATGTTGCACTAATCGAAATCGCTTTAAGAAATTATCATGTCCGCCTTACTTTCTGCTTCAAGCATTTTTTATTTTCTTTGGTTAATTAATTCAATTCGTTTGTTAGGGCTAGGGAATATTAATTCTTACAAAATTTCAGTTAAGAGACCAACTTTCAATAAATGTTTATTTTAAAGGAACGAGCCAACCATTCCTAAAGAAAAAGTAATGGAAAAAAGAGCTTTCTACGGTTTTGATGATGTGGCAATCATTCTGGAAAATTTAGGGTGATCGTAAATGTTTTGCAATAATTACTTATTCCTGAACATTCGAAAACCGGAATTATACTTCATCCTTAATTAACGGCGATAGAAATACGCTAAGCACCTCTTTCTTGAATTATTGTTTCTAAAAAATAAAACATTTTGAAGTTACTCCTCTCACTTTTTTTGAATATATTTTGTTTGCTTCTGTACCTTCGTTACCAAAGCAACCAGCTGGTGAACAAATATTTGCAGAATAGTAGCGGCTGCGAATATTATCAACTTAACAACTGAATGTTCCAAACACGGTTTAAAGCTTCAAAGTTACAGGACCAGACACGCTTCAAGTTAACAAAATTACCGGTAAAACTGGCGAAAAACGGGGTCAAACTCATTTTATCGAGA